CAACAATAAATAAGAAGAATCCACAAGATAAGAAACAATTACGATTACAACAATAACAATAGAGGAGCCCGTGGAAGGTGGTACTAAGAAGAGCAGAGGGGTGAAGAATGGAACCAGTTAAGTAAAGGCTTTTCTGAAGAAGAAGGTTTTGAGTCTGGATTTGAAGGAGTTTAGAGAAGGTGACTCTCTGATATCCTTGGGCAAAGAGTTCCAGAGCTTGGGGGCATAACAGGAGAAGGCCCTGTCACCCATACAATGTAGACAGGCTTGGGGGACAGTAAGGAGAGAAGAATTTGAAGAGTGAAGGTTGCGAGGTGGGGAGTAGGGCGATAATAGTTCAGACAGGTATTGAGGTACCAAGCCATGTAGAGCCTTATAGGTGAGCATGAGGATTTTAAAGTCTATGCAGAATTTGACCAGAAGCCAGTGCAAGGGCTCCAGGATAGGAGTAATGTGAACACTTGCATTAGACCTGGTCAGGATTCTGGCTGCTGAATTTTGGACATACTGCAGTTTGTTCAAAGTAGATTTAGATACCCCAGCGAGTAGACAATTGCAGTAGTCAATTCGAGAGAATACAGATATGTTGATCAGCTTTTCAGCCATAGTTAATGATAGCATAGGGCGTAGTCTTGTGATATTTCTAGGGTGAAAAAAAGATGTTTTGACAGTATGCTGCACATGTGTGTCGAATGTTAAGCCAGAATCGAATATACTGTAACCCCAAGGTTTTTCAATTTTGATTGAAACTCAAGTACAGAGCCATCTACTGATAGGGTTACAGGACTGGCTATACGAAGTTGATGGGGGTACCAATAAGCATGACTTCAGTCTTGTTGCAGTTAAGATGAAGGAAGTTTTGAGTCATCCACATTTTTATGTTAGAGATGCAATTAGATAGAATAGAGACAGCCACATCAGTGTCAGGTTTGGTATGGATGTATATTTGAGTATCGTCAGCATAAAAATGAAAGCTGAGGCCATGTGATCTTAAAAGCTGACCAAGTGGGAACATGTAGATGCTGAAGAGCAAGGGGCCCGGTATTGAGCCCTGGGGGACACCAGACTTGACAAGACCAATTTCAGACCTGTACCCATTGAGAGAGAGTAGGGAGTTATCCCTAGGTCTGGGCCACATTTCTCCCCTTGGACTTTACTGTGGTCTCCAAATTGCCCCCATGTATGACTGGCTTGCACTTGCCCTGCGATTGACTGGAGCCCCATCCAGGGTGTACTCTGCCTTGCACTTGTTGCTTGCTGGGTAGGCTCCGGCTTCGTGTGACACCGTATGGCATAAACCACTTTGGTAAATGACATGACATAACCAGATGAAAACAATGGACATATTCAATTTACACCAAGCATTAAATTGTGTGTTGCATGCCAGACACAATCATGACAATGACATATACCTGAAAAAAATATGGATATATACAGTACGTGTATGATGTTAATCTGTATTTTATACAATATATACTATGCAAAATGTACATGATGTATCAGCAGTGCTACAAATGATAACTTATCACATTATCTAGAGACTAAATCATAATATACAGAGACTAAAGTGTCACAGATGAAAAAAACCCAACAAAAAACATGTTTTAAGTTTTGTTATGTTTATAAGTTAAACAATATCAAACTATTTTTTACATTTACATTAAGCAAAAGGGTTACTTTTACATGAACACATGTAATGCTCGGAAGCAAAAACTGAGGCTTAATCTGTGTCATACGCTGTTTATGATATTTAACCTCAACATCAACTACCAAGCAACAACCAAGGCTGTCCTTTAACTTTAACCAGACTTTATCTGTACTTTCTCTTACAAAAACAAATAATTAGCTGACCTATACAGTCACCGCCACAATTCTTAGAGCCCTTGATAAAGATGAGCAAAAAAGTCTGTACTAAATAACACAGGTAATGAGCTGTATTTTATGTTAAAAAACAAAAACAAAACAAATCTTGTATTCTAATGCAGTTGTTCAGTGAAAAATCTGAAAATCTCTATTAATATTCTACTTCATCTCAGTTTTAAGGAGCTATATTGTGGAGTTCAAGGGTTTCCTTATTCACTGGGGTATACAAATAAGGCAACACAAATAGAAAATAGATTTCTATAGAGATTTGCAACATATAGAAACTATGATTAAATGTTAAACTGAGGTTCTGACTAACTGATCATTAAATATTCAACAGTACTTTTCTAAAACAAATGCATTAACCCTGGATTCCTTGGTAAATTCCACTCTGGGCTTGTACAATATCTTTTATGACAGTTGTTTTTTATTTGCTTAAGCAGTTTCTCACTTTTCCCCTTCATCTGCTTCATAGTGGAGCTGTTGGCACATAATGGTGCAGCAATTCACCAAATTCACTTCACCGATATCAATCTGGTCTTGCCTGTCTGTGATTAGTCAACTTGGAAAAAACAACCACCCCTGTGACAGTGGCAGAAGGGTGTGATTGGGCACAGTAGAGTTTTGGTTCAAAACACAGAAACAGCTGGATGAGATACTTGGATCAATTTGTTACAAAAATCCAAATAAGCTATATAGGCTGAATGGCCACCTATCGTTGAAAGCTCTCTTGTGTAACAGTGTTAATTAAGACACAATAACCACTCTACAAGCTGATTTGGTGGTAAAATGTATAAACATTTGAGTTATGTAAAAATCCAAACAAAAACAAAAATAAACCAAAATACTTATCTCATTTGGACTTTTTAAAGAGTCTTTTTACTTTTTTCCCTCTCGTGGTGACTTAAATGTGATATCAAATTGGTCCCAGGTTAAAGACCTGATTACTTATATGACTAGAAGGGTTACGTAGAACAAAATATCAAAACAGAGCAAACCTAGTGTTAAAGTTTCACTGATTGCAATTACATCTTTAGCTATTGCAATTTGGACTGAGCAAATTGTCTTGGTTAAACATCATTAGGTCTTTTGCAAAATCTGAATTTTGCATGAACACCAGAAATATTAGCACATGAGACCCTCTTGTCTTCATGTTAGTTTCTATTTATCCTCAGGGATCAGAGTAATAAAAACCAAAAATCATGTGAGTTCTCAGGAATGACTGTAAAGAAAAAAAGTGCAATGACTCCTTTGTTTAAAAGAGCTGTCTCGCAAATCTAACGGAAGTGAACCTTACTTTGGATGCAGTAGACAACAGGAAAAGGAACTTTGGATCTTTCTCAAAAACTAAATGCTTCTATTTAACCCAGGCCAGTTCCTTTGTAGGATACTTCAACGCCATATAATAAAACATAACAGCGAGATAATAATATGGCTTTGTCTCCCTTTTCCCCTGCATTTAACTTGACAAAGAGGTTTAGTCAGGCTTTGAGCCTTTACAGTTTAAGCCTCCTGTGAGATTTTCTGTTTAAAGCTTTTAGCAAACAAAAGCCTGCCAAAACACGCCCTCACTGTGTGAGTGTGTTTCATCTCTGGGCTGATCTCCGGGCTTTGCACAGGTGTCATTACAAACAGGATATCCGAAGGCCTCAGGTCTCAACAGCTGAGCATGGGAGCAGCTTCACTGAAATCCTATCGGGCAGGGCAAACTGTTTTTATGCCTCCACTATGGCTACTCTTCCTTTGTTCTGTTCCGTCTTTATGTTCTGTTCACTCTTTAAGGGAACATGTAGGAGCAGGTGTGCCGTAGGGGTGGGTGTAAGTTCCCTTGGAGGTTAGAACTTGCATTACTGTTGCAACACAAGTCAAAGTAAAGAGAACAGAACCTCAAAAGCATAATAATCCGAAGATCATGTTTACCTTTAACACTATCTAGGACAGACACTCTGTGTTACTGTTGTACACTTAAGACTTCAAGTCTGTGCTCCATAATATTTATTTTTTCAAACAATGCCCCTGTCACCAGAAAAAAATGACAAGACGCTAATGGGAAACAATGGTACCCCTTTCAGCCTACCAGAAGCAAATTCACTTGCTGCAGGTTTTTAAAAAAGTCATCCTGGCTGATGAACAAAACAAGTTGACCAGTGATTAATGCACAAAGCAGTTAACAGTGAAAAACAAAATTACATGCATGTTGTTAAGCAATAAGTACTTACTCCACCCTGTACAACTGAAATTCAAGAGAAAACAGGTGGCTGTAAATCTTGCATCTTCAATCTTAAATAGCTGGCATCTGCTGATTATCTCAGGACAGTACATTCTGAGTAAGAGCAGTGTAAGGCCTCTGGAATGTTCTACCACAGATATGTGGCACATACTTAGTCATTACTAATTGTAGAACTTAACTTGACAAATTTGTGAGCCTTAGGCTTTGGTGAACTTACACATTCTTTAATAATACACCCACATGGAGGCATTAGAAAACTAAGACTAAGACTAACTGGAAAGATGATAATTTATTTTTCAAGTAAAATATATTCAGTAATTAAAGTACTATTATTTAAAGCACTGTTCTGTTAAACGCACTGGTATCTGGTGTTACTCCTGGAGCTACTTCTATTAGTATACTGAAAGGTATTTAAAACACAAAAAATATACTCTTTCCAATACCAATTAGTTATGTTTTTAATAACTGGTTTGCTAAAGTGATTAAAAGTGACTTTTCATCATGTACTCAAAGCAATACTTTGTATCCTCAAAGGTAAACTCACATTATTGGTACGATTTCTCTCTTTCTTTAAGAGCTGCCAAGATAAATGGTAGCTCCTTGGCCCAGAAGAATAGATTTACAAATACAATATAAATGTACAAATGTCAGGAGACGAAACTGGCCAGAGAATGTAGTTACCTGTAGTTGTTTAAATGTAGTTACTTATGTATAAGCATATACTGTATATAAGCAAGTGGATTGACTTTTCTGCTTCTCCCACAGAATATGACTGAAGCAAAAAGAAGATGTATAGATTGAATTATACCAATTTGTTTTAGTTGAATTATTTATGTTTGTTTTGTTGTCTTTGTTCCTAGGGGGTAATCTTCAGGTTAACACTTAAAACATATCTAAACACATCCCATCATGCTTTAACCTTTTTTATTCAGGCACTTAGGACTTCTAACCGTGCTGACAGAGAGGAATGATGAAGACTTACTTAATTTTAATTCCATGGTCTTGGAGCATTTTTGAAAAAGTAATACTAAACAAATTGTTAGAAATTTAACAAAAACATTAAAACATAAAATTATGTTAAGATTATGTAAAAATGACTTCACGGACCACTGCGCGCACACTGCAGATGTTGTGGAAAAATTCTGTACCATTTTTATTTTGTCTGGTTGTGAAACTGTATAGCACAAAAGTATGAAGAAAAGACTTATAAGACACTTTTAGACCTTTAGTCAAATTAAATTATTAACCCTTGTGATGCTGAGGGTTTTGATACAGTGTTTGAAGACATGTTTGATACAGCTGACATTTGTTCTAGATATTTGAGAGGCTGTGGAACCAAGAATAAACAAACTTGTAAAAGTCTTTTTAAAAGTTTAGCCTGTCAGGTAGGAAACTGGTGTTTTTTGTGTCTTGAACTGCATATGCATTTTTATTTACAAAGCAGTTACTACTCTTTTAAGGTGAGAAAGATTTTTTTTATTCTTTAGCTCTTAAAAATAATTTCTTTTAAAACCATGCTAATCGGTAAAACATACAGGCTATTAAATAGGTACAAATATGATAAAATCCTGAGCACTGCAACATAAAACTGTTACACCGACAAAGTTAAAGCTTTGCTTTAAACCTGCATTCCACAGATGTTGAAATGTGAGGAACTGGATGAACCTGCCCTTGTGCATTGCAGCCCTGAGTGACATTTGTTTTGTTCTGTCAAAACAATGTTTTGGCTTTCCTAGCTGCAGCTGTCCTCCAGGAGTTCACATGTTAAGCCACAATAAGGTTCCTGTACCTCATTTTATGTAGGAGTCCGGTAAACATGCATTTAGCTGAACAGCTGGGTGATTAAGAAAAAAGAAGCCTCCAATGGTCAGACTCAAACCAATGACCCAAAGCAAAGACCACCAGGCAGGCTGCCCAGGGGCCCCATGTCCTGGGTATGGAAGTTCTACAAAGATGAGTTACAAGATCCGCTTTCTGCCTCCCTCTCCTCGGCCTCTCGCACCTGCAGCACAATCTGTGCCTGATTCTCCAGGCATTCCTTCAGCTTGTCCTCTGTCAGTGTCAGCCGTTTTTCCAGCACAGCTACAGTCTGAAAAGGAAGACGTTTCTGTTGTCAGAAAGCACAGTACAAGGCCTGTTGCAGGCCTTTACATTTTTTTTTACTCTGCCTGGAACCATCTCAACATGCATGCCTTGAAATCAGGAAATATGGATGTTTAAAAGGCTTAAAACCGCATCAAGGTTGGCTCATCTTATGTGGGAATAACAGCTTCTTGAAATGATCGGAAGTTGAAGGCTGCCTTAATGTTGTTCAAGACAGTAATTTACTTATTTGGGGATTTCAGTCAACTACACTTTGGTTCAAAACAAGGTTCTGAAGGTTTTAGTGTTATCAAAGTTTGAAGCATGAAAATAGTTTTAATAGTGATATGTAAGAGCACTCAGGAGTGTCACTTTGAAGGGGATACTGAGCAGAAAAATGGATTTACTTAGAAATACAAGTTGATGGTACGAACGGCAGCATTATTGCATAGAAAATGTACAGAATTTAGAGTAATAAAACAGCACCAAGTAAATTCAGTTGCTCAATTATGACCTGATTCATGTTCCTTGAACAAACAAGATGAAAAAAGTTTTTTGGACATTTGTAATTGGTATCTCTACTTTTGAAATTTGTAGTTAAAATACATTCCAAAGACTCCCAGTAACACTTTTTGAACAACACAAAAACTTTTTCCATCCAGTAATGAATCCCCTGCCACCCAATTTCTGCTTCCCCTCTCATGGAAGTCACAACAGACCTGTGTCAAGACATCCAGTTGCTCCACAATGTGCTCCAGGGTGCTGGCAAAATTCGAAGGGAAGCCGGTGTGCTCCTCCAAGGGAAAGGTCACAGCACATGTCTCCCCTTCTTCCTCCTGCCCTCCGCTAGACCTGTGAGGCGGCTGGAAACTTCTGCCACCAGGCCAGCCCCTGCTGGCTGGTACTCCGTTCTCATGACTGCTTCCTCCCTGTAGCAGTAGAACAGAGAAGATGCATCTGAGCTGTTTTTCAGAACGGAAAGGCTAACAGAACAGACACATTTCCTCCAATTCTTCACTTCCATATGGATAAAATTCAAATTACTTCGGCCTTTTCGAATTATGATTTACTGATTATGAATCTACAGAATTTTTTCCATTTTTCTTATACTTTTGAGAGTAGGCAAACCCTACTTTCAAGAGCAAAAACCATCATAGCTTCAAAGCATCAGATCTAGAAAATCTCTCCTTGTTTAATCTTATTTGGGAACATATTTATTAAACATATTTTATGATCTTATCACGACACGCAAAACTCCATATTTACACAACGAAGCATTTAAAGTACCCATTTAAAAATAAGTAGCCTATATTATAATTACACAATGTAGAATTTGATTCTAAATTAATATGCATTTTATTTAATGTTATTATTCTTGCAATGACCTTTTTCCTTCTCAGAGCTGATATTCTCAAAATAATCATGTGATTATATGAGGTCCTTTTTCCGTTTCTGAAAATTTGATTACACACATTCACTTTGCTCCTCCCATATCAATTCAATTTGTTATATGAGTAAAAGGTACATTTTACTACCTACTGGAAAATATTCACAGTTTGGTGACAGTTTGATCAGACTGAATAAATAGCTGAAGCAATTGGAGGTTGCTTGGCCTGTTTAAACTTGCACTTCAAGGGATCCATTTTGTTACCAGGACTGGTTTGTCCAAGGCCTCAATGATATGATAGACCAAAAACAACATAAAATACAGCTTTTCACACTAAACAAAACATAACCTGGGAAAATTGGGGGGAAAAATCACTCCATACTACACGGAGAGGGAAACATTAAAACCACAGAGATACAGAGTTTGTTAAACATCAAGTATGTAGGAATACAGAAAATGCCACAAAAAATGCATTTGATAAAAATATAAGCGCACACACTCAAAAACAGTTACTGGAATTGGAATTAAAACTTAATTTATTTATTTTAGCACTCAAACTTCCTGAATTGAAACTTTATATTTACAAAAAAGCAAACCCATTCTAAATAATAATATATGACATGTTAAGATATTGATAATTTTAGGAAACAAATATTTTTTTTGAGAACAATTATTTGATTCATAACTCCTCTTACATTGATCAAGAAATACATTTTTTACTTTCCAATACATGAGTCAACCTGGCAGACCGGCAAATGCATTTGAGGAAATATCTTATTAAATGTATTAGCGCATTATGAGGTGATTTATTAACTGAGAAATTATGTTATTTATGCTATTTAAAAATGGGCAAAATTTGAATTGACTAGAACAATGGCTTAAGTCATGTCATGTCATTTACCAAACTGCTTTATGCCATACAGTGTCGTGGGAAGCCGGAGCCTACCCAGCATGCAATGAGTGCAAGGCAGGGTGCACCCTGGACAGGACGCCAGTCCACTGCAGGGCAAGTGCAAGCCAATCACACATGGGGACAATTCGGAGGCCATGGTAAAGGGCGAGGGGAGAAATTTGGCCCGGATACCGAAATAACTCCCTACTCTTCTCGAGAATGCCCGGGGATCTTTAATGATCACTGAGAGTCAGGACCTCAGTTTAATGTCTCATCCGAAAAATGGTTCATCTGGTTATATATTACTTATTTTCCCATTATGTGTCATTACTTATTTTGGAAAGATAAGATTTATTGTCCCTGAGGGCAATGTTTTTGTGGACACACAGCACCTCTGTACATTTAAATATAATGCACACCCCCCCCCAAAAAACAACAACATTGCACATCAGTCTATTGCACATGTATAACACATAACAACATATAACATTTATAACACATCCTTATATCCTTTCGTCTTCATCCGAAAGACAGCAATGGCTTAAGTTTAGATCTGAATTTCCAGAGATCAGGTGTCCTACCAAAACTGTTCCAATCTCCTTGAAGAATATGCATCTTATACCTTGTGTTTCCAGCCCCTTAACTTACTTGCCTAGGAGATCTGGAAAGGATGAGTAACTGGATATCAACTCTCATCCCTAAATTCTAAAGTGCACTGACACAAAACAGAATTGTACATCGTAGTCTTTTAAGATTTCTGAGAGTGCTGAAGTATGCCTTTTTTAAACAAAATCGTGCATTCCCACATAATGTGTGCAAAAATCAATTCCACTTTGGCTTCCTGTGCAATGTCTAAAGTTCAAAGTCACTTCAAACATCTATCGCAATCTGGAAAAGGCCAGCTCTGAGGTGAACAAAGCTGTTAGTGTGTGAATGGCGTCTCGCTGGGGCCAGCAGTGACTGTCCCGGCACATAGACCACATCTGGAAAACATCTGTTATAGCATTTACTGTCAATGGACCTGTGCAATTGCAGTCTTAAAGTTGAAATAAAATCATGCCATTTAAAGGATCTTACTAACCATCATGACAATCAGAAAGGCATTCTAATTGTTTTTAATTCAGAAAACCATATGAACTAACCTGCTGTTCCTGAACCTTTGAGATCAAAATAATATTTGGAGACATGTAAAAGTTTGAACCTAGTGATATTTTTACAGGTTGTATTTTGCAGTTACTATTAAATTTTGGGCTAAGCTACTGACCAAAAACAGCCTAACCATGCATTTAAATAGCATATTTAAAAACCAAATACAGTTTTACTTAGACTAATTATTCCATATAGATTTGTAGCTATACACTTTAGCGAGATAGTCATAGGTATAAAAGGCAAGGTGATACTGTGGTGTAAATTTCCAAAAAAAGTTATCCAAAGAAAATTCTGCAATGTTTCACAGCCATTTAAGGCAATATGTTTAGTAATATGAAATGTATTCAGTCAGTGAACCACATTGTTTCCACCTTATTTTCAAGTAGTCTCAGGCAGGTCATTAAAGCTTTAACAAATTCACCTAACTCAGGCCCATGGAAAACCTCATTATGCCAGCACTTTGTAATTTATTTCAACAGGCATCAGGGCTGCTAAGCATGCTCGCTGTCTCATTTGTGCAATTAAGAATATTTATGAGCTTCTTCTGCAGTTCGAAAAGAAAAAAATAATCTTTGAACTTTTTGTTCTCTTATTATGAGCAAAGGAAATAAAGCATGTAAATCAGCTGCAAAGGAAGATCAGAGGGTTCTTGTATCGCTTTTGAGGCATGAGGAGTACTTCAGGTTCTGCACAGTAATGGGACACGCGGTCCTCTATTATCACTTCAAATCACAGATCCTTGGAACAAGCCATGGAGGCCCTGAAAACACTGCACACATACTCGATTCACAAAATGGCAGCAAAGTTTCCCATTTATTTCATCTGCGTAAACACATTATGACATTAAACCATATCATCTTGTCTTGTGACACTGAGCCACATTTCCTTGTCACAGGATCCCATGTAATGCTATTAAGTTAGTTCTCAGTACAAGGAAATCATTATTTAAATTTAAAAAATAATCAGGACTACTGCATTTGTTTGCTTTTCTGTGCCTTTGTGCTGGGCTCACCACAGTGACTTTTGTAGTTCTGCCTCCTATCTATGCAAGTCTTTCAATTTATTATACTACAGTTAATTATCACATAGATGTTTCTAGCTTATAATATGACTGTATTTCTACTTTTTTAGGTAAAACAGTAATTATTCACCACTTTCTATTCTTCTGTTTATCTGTATGTCCATTCACCCTTTATTCAGTGTATGTGTAACCTAATCAGGGCACAAGAGCCAAATTGCAAGCTGAGCTCTCCTGAAAAGCATTTGCACAGCCTTCCCAGATCAAAGTGCAATAAAGCTTTCAAAAGCAAAATAGATACAGACACTAAGATAAAAGTCAAGGTAAGCCACAGTGTCCAAAAAAAAAGCATTGGGATAGCAAAGTCAAAACTCTTATTATTGCATTACAGTCAATCCTACTATGAATAATACATTTTGGACGGCTCTGTATGTGACCATGAATGATAATTACCATTTCCATCTTGAGGTATGAGTATGGTCAATATGGAATACCCATATGTATGACTGTCAATGGAAAACAGAAGACTAACTTAACCAATCCCAGAAGCACCCTACAATCAGTGGCTATCAGAAATAGTCACTCCCCTGGACTTTTTCACATTTTATCGAGCTACAATATGGAATCATGATGTATTTAATTGGCATTTTTGTCATTGATTGACATAAAGCACTCTGTGTCAAAATGAAAACAAAATTCTACAGATCCTCATAAATTAATTATAAATATGAAAATAACTGAACAAGAATTCAAACACAAGTATTGAGTCAATATTTGGTAGTGGTTCCTTTGGCAGAAATTACAGTCTTCTTGGATAAATCTCTACCAGTTTTGCACATTGGAACAATTTACTTTGCAAAATTGTTCAAGCTCTCTCAAGTTGGATGCGAGGATTGTTAGAGAACAGCTTTTCAACAATTGTCAACTCCTGTCACAGATTCTAGATCAGATTGAGGTTTGGGCTTTGACTGAGCCAATTCAGAACACTGACCTGTTTGTTTTTAAACTACTCCAGGGTGGAGTATTCCCTGGCTGTATGTTTTGGGTCATTGTCCTCCTGGAAAATGGATCTCCTCCCAAGTCCCTTGTCTCTTGTAGACTGCAACAGATTTTCCCTCCAGGATTTCTCTGTTCTTTGCTGCATCAATTTCTATCTTTTACCTTCAAAAGTCTTCTTGGCCCTGATGCAGTGAAGCATCCCCAGAGCATGATGCTGCCATTTCCATGCTGGGCAATAAAGATGGTATTCTCAGGATGATGTGCTATATTGCACTTGCTCCAAAAATGCTTAGAATTGAGGCGCAAAAGGTCAATTCTGGCCTCATCAGACCACAGAATCTTTTTCCAGTTTGTTTCAATATCTGCCATATGTGAATTATTTTGAGCAATGTTTTTTTTTTTGCCACTCTCCAATGAATCCCAGTGAAGCACCTAAGCAATTGCAGTCGTTTCTCCCATGTTAGCCGTGGTTGACCGTAATTCC